CTTTCTGTCTCAGTTCACCTGAATTAGATTTTTCTTTTGTCCTCCACTTTCACTTTTCTCTTTGTATCTGTATCAAAATTTTCAGCAGAGTTAGAAGAATTTGATGCACATTAAGGATGTGGTCTTTCAAACACTTAGAGGCAGAATCATTTGTCTTTATCTGGTTTACCAAACTGGCTGAAGATGTTTATTAAGTATGTCGATTTATGCATATTTTTATATGTGTGGGGGGGGGGGGGGTGTACATGTAGTTTGATCTGTTCTTTGTGTTTTCTGCTTTTTGACACTGAGCGTTCTTGTTCCACAGGATACTGATCTCAGAGACTTTTGTGCTTGGTTAATCAAAGTACTTTTTAAAAAGATTTATGAAATAAATGTAGAAAACACACACAGTCTAACATAAACACATTTAAACAGTTAGCAGCTTAAGGTGTACTAGATAATATTTGTAAAATGTGACCATGTGAATATGAAAATAGTTTAGATGAAGGGACAAAAGAACAAGCTGCATTTAAAAGATTTGATTTTAACCAACTTTCAAGTCAAGCTTTGTACAAAATGCATACAAAAACCTATATAACTTTCATAAAATATAACCTGGAACTTTTACTCTACCAATTAGTGCAGCATACAGGAACTTACTCTGAATATTTTCTCTCTATTTCTGTCTCAGCCATCTGTGAAGGCTTTTGTGCTTTGTGAAAATGCGTCTGGAGACTGTAATCCTCCTGTCTGCCCTGCTTCCACTCTGTCTCTCTCATGGATGGGACCCTCTGGCCTGGCTGTTTCACCGTCACAGCCAAGCACAACAGGTTGGCTTCCTGCGGGCAGATGCAGTGGGATGGGCGTGTCCTGATGAGTGCGACTGCCCACCAACATTCCCCATAGCCATGTACTGTGATGGTCGGGGCCTGACTGCTATTCCATCCATTCCCTCCCACATCAAGTACCTGTACCTCCAAAACAACGCCATCTCAGCCGTGCCTGACTCGGCTCTGGTCAACGCAACCAATCTGGTGTGGCTCATGTTGCATCACAATCAATTGACTTCTGATGCTATTGGAAAGGAGGTAACGTAATGCGATCGCAAAACTATACCCAGATGTGTGCCTGTGCGAGGCTAAATGCAATGATGCCAGTCTGAGAGGCAGACAGATGGCCCGCAGATGTCTGTCAGCCTGTCGTTTGACTTTTGATCTTGTCTATGTCAGAGAAGTTAAGTGATTTTTCATCCTTTCAAATCTTGAACCAATCTGTTCTCTCAAAGGAAGAGAATGGATTGACCAAAATACATTCTGATTGGATTTTAGTATTTTAACAAATAAATATGTGAAAAAGTGTTCTGTGCATTATAATTCATTCCCTTTTTCTCTGACATACTGTAGTGATATTAATGAAAAGACAAAAAAAAAAGGTCCAGAGTGAAATTCAACTGAGAATCTGAAATCTTCATCACATACAGGGAAGTTATATACTTGGCAACACTGTCAGGAAACCTATTAGATGCTGCAAATGACAATTTCAGAGGTTCACCTTCCAGCTGAACCGTAGCCCTAAACATGCAGCCAGAACTTCAAAGAAATGGTTTAGATCTTGACCCAGTCGAGGTCAACAACTAATTCCTATTGATTATACACACCAAGACCACAGGAGATTATGTTCAGGCACTTTCTCTTCTGAGGGACTAAGGTTGATTTATTTTGCAATGATGAATATGCAAACATATCAATAGATGAGTAAAGCTAATGGAATCACACCCCAAAGCACTTGGACCTTTAGATTCACTTGAGAGTTGAATATGAATGAATGTCACGCATTTCTGATTTATAATTGTAAAACATACATCTCAGTCCATATGCATCACATAGAAACGTAATAAAATTAAACAATGAGGTCGCAATGACGCAAAATGTGCCAAATTAAAGGGGTGTTTTGTAAGACACTTTATTTAGTTTCTATTTTGCAACAGCCAATTGAACAGTAAAACAAAAATTCAAAATATTAATTTTGTACTAAATGACTAATTAGATGCTCAACAGCTACCAAAGATGTAAAATTATCACTTGTTGTTTGAAGATACACTTTTCCCCCACTGCAAAGAAAAAACTAAATTGCATCTGGCTCCTGAAGTGGCCTCTGCTGGCAGAACGTCAGATTGGAAAGACCGAGTTCTCCTCTCCCTTATAAGATGAGCAGTGACTTCTTGACTAAACCAAATAGCCCTTTAACAACATAACAAATACAAAGAACATGTGAAGGAAATAGCAACTAGAGCTGTTAATTTTACTTGCCATTATTGAAAAACATGCCTTTTCATTTAAGGTATTTTTAAAGCTGGTAGGATTGGAGCGTTTGTTTCTACACCACAATAACTTGACCAGCATTCCACCAAACCTTCCTCGCTCGCTGAGGGACTTAAGGATTGACCACAACAGGATTGAAAAGGTATTGTTTCAGTTTACCTATATTCCTAAACATTTTGTTGTTCACTTTTGCGTGCTTTGGTTGGATATCATGACAAACAAACTGGCTTTGAAAATCCCACCCTTGTCCAGGTAATCCCAACAGACCTTGAAGGAATGGATAACCTCACAATCCTGCATCTTCATGACAATGCTATTACGGACATGACTTCATCACTGAGGGCTCTGAAATCCCTCACACTACTTGACATCAGCAACAACAAGCTAATAAAGGTATTTAAACAGCTAAATGTTTGATTAAAAATAAATAACATGTTTTTTTTGGGGGGGGGGGTTCAAGCATGAATATGAACAAAAAAGATCAAGTGTGGGGTTCTGCAGGATATGATGTCTGGACCTATTTTATTCAGTATCTACATGCTCCCCCTTGCTCAATTTCCATCAGAGTGCTAGAATATCTCCTAGCATTTCTATTCTGATAACATATAACTTCATATGTCTGCGGTGAAAGACATAAGAAGTTACACAGTTTGTACGTGGAAGAATCAGAGAGAGAACCGTTTTTCATTCATTTTAAGGTAGAAGACAGAAATTGCTTTTCATTGTTTCAGATTAATTAATAAATAAAGCAAAGGGGGCAGTTAAATCAGACACCCCAGAGGACCAATAACAGAAAATAACATAAACTGCCAAGACAAACCAAGCTCAGAACAAAACATCTCTCACTTCCATTTCCTGTTTCAAAATAAAAGTTATCTCTGCTAGTTTGAATAATTAATTTCAATTAATTCAAAATAGAATTAGCTATCTAAGCTAAATTTCTAACTTTTATGATGTTTATGAATTTGTAATTAAATGAAATATTTGTTAGAATTTGTTAACCTAAACAACAATCAGCACACTAATCTTAAAGCTGACCAAAAGAGCGGCTTTCCACACATCCACATTCTCCTGGTTTAGGATTTTTTCTAATTTACACTTTTATTATTTTTACTTGGCATATGTTACTATTCACGTTAGTCTGTAACAAACATTTTTCACTGTTTTTCATTTTCTCCTACAAAGAATTTTGAATTTTCTTGTGCCTGAATGACGTCCTGCAAATAAACCTTTTCTTTTCTGCTTCAGATCCCAGATGCTCTTCCTGAACATTTGCACCAGTTCTACATGGAGTTTAACTCCATTGACTCTCTGCCCGAGGGTTTCCTGGGGGGATTAGCTCAGCTGCAGTACATAAGGATGTCTCACAACCTGCTGAAAGACAAAGGCATCCCATCCAACACCTTCAATGTAACCGGACTGGTGGAGCTGGACCTGAGCTTCAACAAACTGGAGAGAATCCCGACTGTCAGCACCACACTGCAGCATCTCTACCTGCAAGCCAATCAGATCAAAGGTAAATGGCCTTTCTGGCATATTGTGAGGAAATTGCCTCACTCACAGGAATATTTTATAAGTCACTGTCCTGTCATTGCAGAGTTCTCCCTGGGAAGTTTCTGCTCCGTTGTGGACGTAACAAATTTCTCCAGACTGCAGACGCTGCGACTGGATGGGAACGAGATCGGTCAGGAGGACATCCCGTCAGAGTCTGCTCTCTGTCTGCGTTGGGCTTCCAGCATCCAGATCTAACAATGTGCATTAGACCACTGTTCAAGAATTGCCAAGCCCAAAACAGTGAAGGCCCAGTGACATATTGTGATGTCATCACACACACAGCTGTGATTGTTGTTCAAATGTGAAATTTAAAAGATGTTTCTTCAGTATTATTCTGCATCAAAGGTCGGAAAACATTGCTATACTTTAGTTGAGAACAGTCAATTGATCATGATTACATGTTATACTCAAAATCAGTTTAGGAGCTTTAATATAATGTGTATCATATGACATGTCTGTGACGATGATCCTTTCTTGTTGTGAGGATCTTTTATAGCCTTTTATTCGACTTTAATTTCAGTTTTTCTTTATGCGTCTTCTCATATAGTTCTGTTTTACTTTGTTTTCCTGTTTTCTCTGATACATAATATAAAGTCCTGCTCAAAATCTCAAGACTGCAAAAACATAAGCATTCAAATGTCATGCTCGTTGATCATATACAGGATTTAAGTAAAGTGTTAAACACTAAAAGAAGAAAAAGGGAGAAAAAAACTGATGTAGTGGGAAAAATGCAGGTATTATGACTGAAGTTCACTAGTATTAATACTTGGAAATCCTAAAACAGAGTTTAGTGTCAAAAAATGACACTTAACTCTGTTAACTTTAAAACTTGTTGATCACTTTTAGACATGCTTGATGCCAGTGATGCCGTTATGGCTGGTGGTGATATTATATTATATAAGTCAATGTTTTCATTATAAATCTGTCCTACTGTATATTCAGCAAGATTACAAACGTTATACACCTGTACACACACACACACACACACACACACACATATATATATATATATATATATATATATATATATATATATATATATATATATATATATATATATATATATATATATATATATATATATATATATAGGGCCTCCTGTCACTTTAAATCAAACTACGTTGTCTCTGGCCACGCCCCCAACTCAACTTTCACATTCGCACTTGAGGATGGCTGTCACTCGACGCGCTATTTTATAACCATACATTTTGAAGTGATGCAAGTAATTGCTGGAGGGTAAGTCAATAACACTTTCCTTTCCCACCACCCATTATGCTTTGCGTGCAGCGGCAAAATCAGCTGATCAACGGCGCTGGAGCTCCGCCTGGTTGGGTAAGGGGCTGGGGGTTGCTAGGGAACGGCACAGTGCCGTTGATTTTAAGTGACAACAGCAGACAACACAGATAGTTTTCTGACCCCCGATTCAGCTTTTGTTATGCTGATAAACTGTCTAAATAAGTTACGTGTGGTTCAATCTTTATTTTTTATTTTGCCATTTCTTTAGTTCCGCATTATTTTTGCCTAATACCACCTCAGAGCCCCCTCCCCCCACCAGCCCCCTTCCCTCTAACGGTGCCAGCAGTTGTTTCAGGCCTTCATTTTTATGTCACTTAAGCCCCTCATTTGGGACATAAACCATCTCACTCAGGCACACAACCGACATGGGAGTTGGAAGAGTGATGATGGCCTCCAAATTAATATGTTTATTCACAATGCTGACACAGAGCGGATTGGGTCTCCTTCGCTCTGACTATTGGCGAAGGGATGCTGCAGGATGAACAAGGACCTGCAGGATGAACAAGGACCTGCAGTGCTTGGGAAACGGGATCTCTGGCTGTTTACTCAGGACGATGCTGGTTGTTCTTAACAAGGTTCAAGTGGTTTTTGAACTGGCTTTTTAGACACCAAAAATAACTTATTGCCAAAAGCAGCGGTTTCTCTTTTTATTATTATTTTTAATAGTCTGGACTGTGACAATAACAATAACAGCTATTTATTCTGTCTTTATTAGGTGACTGTATGGATCCGACTGTATGGCACAGCAATCATAACCCCACAAACATAAACACTGCGCTTGAAAAACTTTCACATGTACATTTCTTTAGGACACCAGTCACATAAAGAAGTGTAATTTATGTCAATAATCTGCACATAGTAATTGCATTTAATCATATTTTCAAATTTATTGATTCTTATTAATACTCATTGACAGAAGAAAATATTAAAACTCAATTCTGACACCGACAGTTTTGGGGGGTTTAATCATATTTAATTGGAATTTATGATCGCAACAATAAATCAAAATCTGTGTCATGATAAGTAATTTATAACGATACATGGTAAAGAATACAATAAATACCGAAAAATAAGCCTTGGAGAGGCCGGAAAATTGAGACCCAGCTGGAACTATAAAACGTGAATTTTTCACAGGCTCCCTTTGTCAAATTTCACTTGTCATGTGCAATTATACATCATAATCTAGCATTTGAGTTCAGCCCTTTTTACTCTGATGTGTCAGATTACGATCCCGTGAAGGCGGGAGGAAAAAGTTTACCCGTGAAAACTGGTCGAGCAAGCGTGACTATGTCCTCTCCATGATCGGCTGTGCTGTTGGCCTGGGAAATATCTGGAGGTTTCCTTACCTGACCTACAAGAATGGAGGGGGTACATCAGTATTCTCACATCTATTATCCAATCCATCGGGGCTCCTTTTCAGTCTTGTTATTAACTGTGCTGTCACTTTTTTATTCTGTGCCGTTGTCATATAGGGGCCTTTCTCATCCCATACTTCACAATGCTTCTGGTGACTGGTATTCCCCTTTTCTTCCTTGAAAGTTCCTTCGGTCAGTTCTGCAGCCAGGGTCCTATCAATATTTGGAGAGCAGCGCCGCTCATGCAGGGTGAGATTAGAAGAAAAGCATCTATCGTTCATTTCAGGGAGATGAAAGGTAAATGTGGTTCATGCTCAACGCTGTATCCACAAATGAATGCTGTCTCATATCTGAAGAGAACAGCTGTTTGTGAACAGCTCTAGTAGCAACGATTAACGTCAGCCCAGCTCTGATTGCACGCTAGCTTCTTTAAGACTTTGATCAGGCAAATTCTCCTTAAATTCTCTTAAATTTCACTTGTTACAGGAGCACTGTAACAAGTGAAATTTAAGTAAAATATAGATATTTTATCAGCCATTAGAAAAGTCATTCACTATTCAATCATTTGTCTGTGAAAACAAGTTAATTATGCATGTAAATACCGATATGTAATGAAACACTTTGAGAGGCTGCACAGCTGTTAGTGCTTCAGCCAGGTAGCAATAAGGTCCTGGGTTTGAATCCTTGCTTTTGAAATACACTGTTCACTGATAAGACTAATGAAAGGTTAATGTTTTAAGGGGCTTTCGTCATTTCATAGTTTATATTCTCGCCTCTCTTTCCAGGTGTTGGCATAGGGATGGTGATGGTGACTCTCTTAATAACTATTTACTACAACGTCATCATGGGCTACAGCCTGTACTACATGTTTGCCTCCATGCAGAACCCTCTTCCATGGGCCAGCTGCCCAAACACCACTGCCACTACCTGCAGTGAAACGCCTATAGGTGCTTATTTAAAATGTCATAGTTGCATCTGCGGTTTGGAAGGAGTTGCCGTTTCTCTGAGGTTTCAAACCCTTCAGGAACATTATAAGATGTCAAAACACGTTTGATCCATTCACTAACTGTTTATGTCTTTTTTAGTATATTGTAATAACAGTGGTATTTTGACTGGAGTGAACCAGACTTGTAATCTGTCCAACAAAATCAAGATTGATATCCAGAGCCCGAGCGAGTACTACTGGGAGTAAGAGCTACACATTTCTAATGAGCATACTAAAATTGACCCTACTACTACAACAATGTAGACTTGAACATATGCTAGCATGCTAAAGTTGCCTCTCTTGTCATGTTTAGCCATGTGGCTCTGCAGAGATCCAGTGGCCTGGAGGAAACAGGACCAGTAGTTTGGCACCTTGCTCTTTGCCTGATGTTGAGCACCCTCCTTGCATGTGCATCTCTGATCAAAGGCATCAAGTCATCAGGAAAAGTATGTCCTCATAGCTACAGCATATGGATAAGCTCCTCCATAATTTGAAGTGGAAAATCAAACATGCTGCCATATTTGACTAAAGAACTCTTGCACAATGCAGAATGCAGTTCTCTGAAGATGTTTATGTTCACTCAAGGGAGCAAATTTCATGTTAATTAAATTTTTTTTATGATTAATTTGAACTTCTTTTTGTCTCTTTGTAACTTTAATGATTTTCAAAGATGTGTGAATGTATTTATTAATGCAATTAAATTAAATCAATACTTTATTAATTCCAGAAGAAAAATAAATGTTGCAACTGGTGTTATACAGTTACATTCAAAAATTCAAAAGCTAATGACTGTGGGCAGGTAAGATCTCTCGTAGCCATCTGTAGCGCAGTGAAGCTGAAGAAGCTTCTGACTGAAGACACTAACTTTAATCCAACTTTGATCACTGTAGAACATAAAAACTAAATGCAGAAAGACTGCAGACTAGGTTTAGAACCCGCCACCTACTTGCTGCAAGGCACAAATACTAAGCACGACTTTCAAGATTTCTAGTTAATTCTGAGCGACATACCTTCAGTTTATTTTATTCTTTCTGTTGTTTCTCTGTTGTCCAACGTCTTGACTCAAGCATGTGTGAAATCATTTCATGTGCATTTTGAGATTATATTTAGCCTCTGATTTCAAACTCATCTTCTTTCTCTGAAGGTTGTGTATTTCACGGCCACGTTTCCTTATGTGGTGATCCTTATCTTGCTGATCAGAGGTGTGACACTAGAGGGAGCTAGGGATGGGATTGAGTTCTACATTGGCTCCAAGTCCAATTTGACAAAGCTGTCTGAAGCCCAGGTAGGTGTCCAATCATCCATTATCTGTCTCAGCATGTAACACTAGCTTATACTTTTCACCTGCATTGTTTGTGTGTGTGCGTGGGCGTGTGTGTGTGTGTGTTGTAGGTGTGGAAAGATGCTGCAACCCAGATCTTCTTTTCCCTCTCTATTGGCTTGGGAGGACTCATGGCCCTCTCTTCCTATAACAACTTCCACAACAATGTGCTCACAGACACATTAGTTGTGTCTATTACTAATGCTGGTAGGAGCCCAGATTGCTGCACTATTTGGTAAAGAACTTTTTAAATGGCTTTGATTTGTGACGTGTTTTCTTGTCTTTAAAGCAACTAGTATCTTTGCTGGCTTTGCAATCTTCTCCATAATGGGTCATATGGCTCACATCTATAAATTGCCAGTTACAGAAGTGGTAAAAGAAGGTCAGACATTGAAAGTATTTGGCGAAACCTGAGTTCTGCTGTATGAAACTGTCAGCATTGATATTATTGTGTTATTCTGCAGGATTTGGCTTGACATTCATCGCCTATCCAGGAGCTCTCACGAAGCTTCCCATTTCACCACTGTGGTCCGTGTTGTTCTTCTTCATGATTCTGACTGTCGGTCTGGACTCTCTGTTTGCAGAAATAGGTGAGACCTTCAACTCAGACTCAACTTGTTGGATCTTCATTTTCTAAAGCCTCTCCTTTTGTCCATAGAGGTGTTAATAACCTCCGTCCAGGACGCTTATCCCCAAATCTTTAAACCCAAGAGAGCCTTACTGACAACGGTAACATGTGCAATCCTCTTCCTTCTGGGCCTGCCGTGTGTCACAAGAGTAAGTTTGTCTCACTGCAGATTTTTGTTGTCTATTTTAAAACCTGGCAATGCATTGTATCTTTTCCTTTAAATTAAAGGCTGGAATCTACTGGGTGACCATCATCGACTCGTTTATCGCCAGCTGGGTTGTGCTATTTTTGGTTTTCTTAGAGGTTGTTAGTGTTTCCTACATATACGGTAAACGTGACCTCCAAAGATCTGTGCACACATTTATGAAAGCGAGAGACTCCCTCAAACCCCAGTCTGGGTGTGTTTTTGTTTTTGTTTTGTTTCTTACATTCAGCAGGAGTGAACCGTTTCATAGAAGACATCGAAATGATGATTGGACAAAAGTCTCCACGTTTCTGGCTCTGGTGGAAGACATGTTGGCTCTTTGTCACCCCTTTCATCTTACTGGTAAAAAAAAAAAAAAAAAAGAACATATGCATTGTTTCTGATTCTTCTATTTATTGTGTTTAGGAGCAACAATGTGTAAAAGAACAGTTTAAATGGCAAAATAATGAAAAACCTAGACTTAGACTTACTTTTGTGCACCTAATATTTGAATGTAAATTTTTCACAGCTACTATGATTTTGATCAACATTTGTCTGAAGGTGCAGATAAAGATACAGAAGATCCCAGCATTTTATATCTCTAAAGTCATACTTCCTTGTTGTTTAGGTTATCTTGGTATGGTCTCTATTTACATTTTCCCCCCCCACATATGGAGACATACGCTTCCCGTCCTGGGGGTTGTCTCTGGGATGGTGCATGCTTGCTTTCGTCCTGCTGTGGCTCCCTGTTGCTGCCGTCTATCATCTGACAAAAGCTAAAGGGACCCTCGTCAACGTAAGTAAGCCGGTTGTAATTTGAAGTCTTATGTGTACTATTTTTCTGCATTTTCATAATTTCAAATATGTTGATCTCTGCAGCGACTGATGTCAGTGTGTGCCCCATCTGAGGACTGGGGTCCCTACCTGGAAATTAATCGAGAAGGGCGCTACCCAAAACGTCAAACTGTCAACATAAAAAACGATTCCAACGATTCCGACGAGGAGACCTCCGGCCTCTGGCTTTAATGTGTCTGCTGATCTGTTTGTCGGTTACTCTGAGTACGTGTGGCATCTTTCGCAATCTATAGAAATGTTTTTAAATAGATCAAAAAATTGTTTAGCATGTTTACTTTTACTTACATGCATTGTGGGACCAAACAGTGTTTGGTCCCACAATGCATGTAAGTTTAGATTACACAAACACTGTGTTTGTAATCTAAACTTAAACTTGTAGCATTGTAAAAAAGAAAAAAATCTGATCATTTTGATTGTATGTTTTGTTTATTTTATTTAACCTAACAGGGTGATGATTTGCCATTGTCTCGTTGTGATGATCTTGATCAGCAACATTGTATTGTCATGTACATGAAGCCTAAATAACAACCGAAGTTTTGCAGAAAAAAAAGGCAGGTAAATCAACACCATTTTTACTGTTAGTGGGCATGAGGAATTATACACTACTTTGTCCCAGCGTCTCAAAAAAAAGAAAAATTCCTGTAAAAATTTGTGGATAATATGCAAAAATGTGGAAAAGAGTTCATTTTTAGGACTGAGGCTTAAATCCATTTACAGCAACTTAGGTGACCCTGTGTGGTCACCTAATGAGGGTTATCAAGGACCTTCTAAGGAGGGTCACCTAAGTCGCTGTATACAATTTGGGTTTATTATTCCACCTAGCTCTGCAGAGGAGAGAAAGAAGGGGTTGATATGTGCTTTTTCTTTTTTCATAACCTCTTCTGAGCAGTCAGATAACCATTATCCTGAGAGCTGCAGGGTCGTTTTTAAGGCCTTTGTATCTGCCACCTAATTACCTGAGTGAGAATTCACTGCTGGCTGCTCTACACACAAACACACACACTCTGACCTGCGAGGTTTCCTCAATAACGACAGCATCATCCTTCCCAGGTTAAACACAAGTTTAGCTGTATCAGATATGAGACAATTTTACTATATGATCCAATGTCACCTTCTGTTTGTATGCATAATTCTTTGTTTTTTATGTATTATATTTTATGTATTACACTAAAACGTATGCTATCTAGAAACTTGTTTACATGTGATTGACTGTGCATGTTATTATTTTAAAATTTCAATCAATCTACAATTTTTGTAAATTAATGTTTCATTTTATTCTGTATTTGTACCACTAATGTTTAAGATGTCAATGAAAAGCCAACACCAGATGTCTTTATCACACTCAGATATAAAACAATTCCCTGTGTTTGTGCCACGTTTTATGTTTTGTTTCCCAGAAAGCTTTAATGTGTCTCAGTGAGCTTTAGGATCCTGTCCACTAAGGTCTGAATCAGGTGTGGACTTGAGCGATTGCATCATGATTGGCCTGTGAAGAAAAGGGAAATACAAGGTTGATGTTCATGTTTGACATTGAAAGTCACACTATGGCTGCAATATAAATGAAACTCTACATGTGAGATTGTATGATAGACATTAAAACGTTTTTATTTCTTTTTTTTTTATCTTATGCATATTAATAATACTTTAAATACAAACATCTTATTTGTCTGGCTTAATTATCAAAATGCTCCAAAGTCCACAGAAATTAGAGGGCACATAAAAAGAAATACACCCATGGAGAGCAAAAAGTAGTTTCCTGCTGTATTCGTCGCCATCACAAAAACATCTTTTAGTAAAACTGCATTGCCACTAAGAGTTCAAATTTTAGCTCACTTACGGCTTCCTAACTCAAACACGTAGCATTTATTGATTGTTTTGAACTGCTGCACAACCAGTGCACAGTGGATCTTTAAGGACTTTGTTTTCATATGGATGCAATGTTTTGCTAAATGCTGATAAGGAATTTTATTCAGGCACAGAAGAAACACCTTGAGGCTCGTGCCCCGGTATTAGGGTGATGGCAAGAAGACCTTGGTAGCAAGCAAAAATCCTACAGGTCGGGTTTGATCATTTATACAGCAAATAATTCTTTATTATACAATTAGGCAATACTAGAAGATTTTATTTCTTCAAAATGTACTTTCACAAAATATATCATCTGTTGAGGAGTGCTATGAAGACAAACCATTTTCTGTGTTTTTATGGCTGCATCACCACATCTGACCACCAGATAGAGCTAAAAAGTCACGTGGAGTCCAATTATATTTTATATAAGATGCTCCTTAACAACATATTTCCATTAATCCCAAAAGATTTTATATTAACTCTGTGAAATGGTCAGATTATCTGTGTGAGTTGCATGCAGAACAGCTCTACTTTATATAAAAGAAAGAAAAAGAAATTAATCTTGTTTTTTTTTTTTTTTTTTTTTTTTTTGTCTTTTGTTCCCAAAATGAAATTACAGTGAACTTACTGAACCTCAAGCCAGATTCTTCGTCTTTCTTTCTCTCCATGTGTATGGAAGCAGAAGGCAGTGAGATATAGACCCTGTTTGAAATGTAAAGTAAATCCGATCGATCAATTTTGTGGTTTTGAAGTTTCTCAAAATGTAGAAAAAGCCACTAAAATCACAGCAGTGTATTTAGCACTTGCGGCCCCGGTAATTGTGTTTATTATTATTATTATTATTATTATTATTATTATTATTATTATTATTATTTTGTTAGTTTTTTGTTTTTTTCTGAAGGAAACAGAAATGCGCAGAAGCGAATTGTTGCTTTTTCATTTGAAAGTGGATGTTGTGGGTGGAAAAAAAAAAAACAAGCCGTGGTTCGGTTCTGTGTTCCGTCTCTGTCCCTCTCCTCTCCTCCACCTTCATCCGCCTCCTCTCCCTCCACCTTCCCTCCTCTCCTCCACCTTCCCTCCTTTCCCTCCACCTTCCCTCCTCTCCTTCACCTTCCCTCCTCTCCTCCACCTTCCCTCCTCTCCTCCACCTTCCCTCCTCTCCTCCACCTTCCCTCCTCTCCCTCCACCTTCCCTCCTCTCCCTCCACCTTCCCTCCTCCCTCCACCTTCCCCCCTCTCCCTCCACCTTCCCTCCTCTCCCTCCACCTTCCCCCCTCTCCCTCCACCTTCCCTCCTCTCCCTCCACCTTCCCTCCTCTCCCTCCACCTTCCCTCCTCTCCTCCACCTTCCCACTCACCCAGATAAGTCGGGCTACTCAACAGCCTGTTGCTATTAGATACCGCTGAGCTTGTCACCATGGCAGCAAATGCTCCATCATCCACCCCCCCCTCCTTTTCATTTTACTGATGCACACTCTCACGTACACAGACTCCCCCGTCCACGCATGCCGTTATAGGTGGCTGCGACGTGGTGGGAGGGGGGCTGTCCTTGAGTTGTTCAGTCTTCTCAGGTCCGGCGTGGAGGTGGAGGGGGGGGTGGAGAGGGCGGGGGGTGTGCACAGGAGGGGAGACATGTCTGACACACATCAACACGTGTCCCTCGCGGACACTGAGACATGTGCAAGCCGGTCCTCTAAACTACTCTATAGTGAGATAACGCTGGTTGTGCATGCATGGGAAATTGAAAAAAACAAAACAAACAAATAAGCAAATAAATCTAAATAAAACCCACTCGTGGTTTCAGCACTGCGACAACAGAACGCAACAGTTGCTCATAATCTGCGAGTATACGGGACTCAGGTCGCTGAACGTCACTTGTTGTGCTGACATGAAGAGATTGAAACGACAGACGTGACTTGAATGCTCACGTACTGTGCAGATGTCCCAGGAAGCTGACGTCACGTGCAAAGAAAACACACAGAGAGGGAGAAAAGGTGAGACGGAGGGAAGGAGGAGGAGAAGGAATAGAGGGAGAGATGGAGGGAGGGATGGAGAGATGGGGGGACAGTCAAAGCTGATTCTCTTTCGCCAGTGGAGGCAACAAACCCCCCCCCCGTGTTGCCATGGCGACCCCTCTCTTCAGCGAGCTCCCACTTATCCTTGCTGCCTTTCAGTCAGCAGGGCATGTGGGTGTGTGTGCTTTTGTGTGTTGGCTCTTGAATGAATCAGGCAAATGAAAGGGACAGCATTCAGAGAGCCAAGTTTGCAGTTTCTTCAATTTAAGTTATCTAACCTCTTTCTTTTTGTTCCATTGATGAGAAACTTAAGAAGCTTGTTTGGTTTTGCCTCATCATTGTTACAAGGCGTTTTGAAGCAGATCAGATTTCTGTTCATGTAAAAAAATATATATATTCGAGGCAAAGACAGAACATACATTCTGTTCAAGCAGAGTACTTAAAAAAAATGAATTAGGCTGAAAACCCAAATAAAAGCTGTTTTTCCTATACGTGCAAATGTACTGGGAACACTTTGTGCAATACGATGAATCAAAACATGAAGAAAAATATATAAAATTTGCCAACACACAAAAGAACGTAGAAAAAAACTTAATATGCTGTTTACAAGCTAACATTTGCTGCTCAAAATCTAGAATTTGCAAAGATATATAGTGCATTTTATTCTATTGAGAATGTTTTTCTTCAATTGAACTTTTCTCTACTTACTCCTCGCTCTGCAGTTGCTTTCTGTTTGTGACCTAATTTCTTGCATAGAAAGATTTCTTGCTTTTTTTTTTTTTTAACTGTTTTCTTTGAGCAACAGCTAAAAGAAAATACTGTGTGCCTGTGATTGCCGCACAGCTTTGCTGCTTGCTTGAGCAATTTCCCCGCTCAGGGACCAATAAGAGTTATTCTGTTCTATTCCAAGTGAAAAAAATGTTGAAGCTTTAGAATCAGTGAACCAGCAGCGTAAGTGGATGGACACAAAAGACCTTAAAACAGCTGAGACACAGCAGCAGATGACCACACCTGGCGCTGCTACTGTCAGCTAAAACAGGCCCGCAGATCACAACTGCCTCTAGCTTGTGCTAACCAGTTAGCAGATAAAAGGTTAGCGATATTGTACGTGAACGTACTTGTCTCTAGTTTTGGTGTGAACTGAAGTAGAAAACTGAACCCTTTGGTATGAATATAATTTTTTCCGTCTTAACATTTCATTTTTCATCTTGTAAGTTCAGTGAAGTCTGATTAGGTGAGAATGGCAGTCATTAAAGATAACTTTCCTTTTGGTCTTCTTTTTGGCCCAATATTCGTTAAAACTAGCCAAATAAAATATCTAAAAATATAAGCCAGGCTTTCATATAAATAATAAACTCCCACCTTCACCTTCTTATAGCATTGTACGTTATTTTGAACAAGACTCCAGAGGTGCTTGCCATCGCTTCACACACTGGTTCTGTTTGTTTTCACACTGTGAAGAAACTTAAAAATGTATCAGCGACTCAACATAAGCTCTCAGCGGTCGGCTTTTTCAATTTATTCCATGTTTAATGAATAACCTCAGAGTGAAAGTGTTTGACAGCTGCCTGCAAAGTCTTTCAAAGTACTTCATGGATGTCAGTATGTCTTTCAACTTTGAAAAATGGATGCTATTGATTTCAAAGTCACGTGACATTCGCGGACGATTCGATTCTTATGAACGACTCATTACTTAACTCTACTCTGAACAAAGAACTTGAATCTCAGCTTGTGAGAGGCATTCTTTGTTTTGTGTGAGTTTACTTGCTATCTAAAAATATAATCCAGGCTTACATTATCCACATATTGCAACAACTACTAATTTAATTTAAATTAATTCAATGCATCAACAAACAGACACAATAAAAGAAAGGGGTGGTTGTAAGAGTGTGCACTGTCTGTTTCCACTCACGTTGAACCCGGTTCAGCTGGAGGTTTTCCTTCCCACTGTTGCCACATACTGGCACATTGACAGCATTGCATTGTAACGAACATCAAATTGGAACATGTGGAACTGAATTTCAATCTGACTGGATTAAACTGATTAAGTATTTCTGTATATAAATGAGAATATCCTTTAATATACTTTAAGTGAATTTGTTTGTCTTGTAAAGCGGAATAACATTTGTTGTAAATCCACTTTACATTTGGGAAAATTTAGGCAAGCAGATATTTTTGTAGCCATTTTTTGATGCAGATCAGCACATATCTGCCTCACTTTAATAGCATGTTCTCTAGTCTTACCCATTCTGAAGAGGGCCTCCTAAAAACAGGCTTCTGTTTCATATCTCAATTAAAGAATTAGAAAAGTATGAATGGCCACTTAAAATTTGTAGGTACTCTAATCAATCCTAAAATAAATAAAAATGTAAATTTGTCATGTTGAAACTATTAAAGGTTTGATAAATTGTGGCAAAAATGATTCAATAAATAAAAAATAAAAAAAACACATTTCTTTTTATTTCTTAACATGCATTTTCTTAACCGCTGAATAAATGTGCTCTAACTAGGTTTGATTTTTCTAAATGTCTGGAGTGTCCATAAACCAGGAGAATGCTGTAGATCTCCAAGGCTTATTTTCCTTGAGCTGAAAACGGACCGTCACCGACTCAAGAACCGCTGCTATCATTTTACAAACTGCCTTGCTCTTTTATGACATTTTGGCCAGTTG